AAAACCCAAATGAAAATAAAATGAAAACACAAATGAAAATAAAATGAAAAAATAATTGCTTTCCCCACCCCAAGCCTGTGGCCATAAGCATCTCTTAAACATACATACATACATACATACATACATACATACATATACATACATACATACATAATACACATACATACATACATACATACATACATACATACATTACATTACATTACATTACATTACATTACATACATTACATTACATTACATTACATTACATTACATTACATTACATACATACATACATACATACATTACATTACATTACATTACATTACATTACATTACATTACATTACATTACATTACATACATACATACATACATACATTACATACATTACATTTACATACATACATACATACATACATACATACATACATACATACATACATACATACATACATACATACATACATACATACATACATACATTACATACATACATACATTACATACATTACATACATACATACATACATACATACATACATACATACACATACATACATACATACATACATACATACATACATACATACATACATACATACATACATACATACATACATACATACATACATACATACATACATACATATACATACATTACATACATACATTACATACATACATACATACATACATACATAACATAACATAACATAACATAACATAACATAACATAACATTACATTACATTACATTACATTACATTACATTACATTACATTACATTACATTACATACATTACATACATTACATACATTACATACATCAAAAACATAATAATAATAACACACAAAAAAAACATACAAGCATACAAACATACAAACATACAAACATACATACGTACATACAGACAGACAGACAGACGGACTGACAGACAGACAGACCAACAAACAAACAAACAAACAAACAAACAAACAAACAATCCACATCACCAATAGCGACAACGCAAAGCAAAGCAGAGCTGATCCAACCAAAACAAAGCACGGCAAGCCAAAGCAGAGCAGAGCAAAGCAAAGAGCAGCAAACAAAAGAAAGCCAAGCAAAGCACACCAAAGCAGAGCAGAGCATACAACGCAAAGCAAAAGCCAGCAACAAAGCATCCACAAGACGGCCCTTGCGTGCGTGGGATGCATGGAAGGCATCGAAAGCATTTGTGGCTAGCAGGCTTTCGGGGAGGAGGCACGCAGCACACAAGCATATAGGGCCATAGGGCATCTACTCTCCACTCACAGCAATGTGTGAGAAGTCGCCTCAAATCGCTCCGTAACGTATACGAAATGTGCGCTGCTCATCTGTAACATGTGAGCAACGCCCAAACCCCTTGACTTCTTCTTCCACAACCTGGTTGCTCAAACTTGAATCAGGGAATTGAAGCACTGGGTTTTGGGCGCTGCTGCTCATTTGGACGATCAATATTCGCTGACCACACAGGACCCGCACCGCTCAACCTAGCCTCCAACGCTATGACTCCAATGCCCAGCCTCCAATGACCCGTAGCTTAAGTACATGCCTTGCCTCAATCGGATTGTCCAAGTATATTTCACCGACATTATGACTGGCCTTGAACACAACTAACCCGATGTTGATGTCATTCGCCGTCTGTCTGGCTGCCAGTGACAGCTCACCTTTTCTGACATCCTCTTTCCTCTACAGCCTTACCTCTGCTGCCAGGATGCAAGCAATCAAAGCGAGTGCTTGGCCCACGTCAGTCACACAAAGCTGTCAGCACGTGCTGCTCAGCTCTATCATTGAGACGTTCACCCCCTCAGCTGCCTGCCCAACCTTTCTTGCCACAACACTGCAGGTCTCATCATCAACTTTCCAAAGACTGCTTGGCCCACGTCAGTCACACAAAGCTGTCAGCACGTGCTATGCTCAGCTCTATCATTGAGACGTTCACGCGGTACTCATCATGCAGGACCCCCTCAGCTGCCTGCCCGACCTTTCTTGCCCCAACACTGCAGTTCTCATCATCAACTTTCCACTTGGCCCACGTCAGTCACACAAAGCTGTCAGCACGTGCTATGCTCAGCTCTATCATTGAGACGTTCACACGGTACTCATCATGCAGGACCCCCTCAGTCAGCTGCCTGCCCGACCTTTCTTGCCACAACGTTGCAGGTCTCATCATCAAGTTCCAAACACTGCTTGGCCCATGTCAGTCACACAAGGCTGTCAGCACATGCTGCTCAGCTCTATCATTGAGACGTTCACACGGTACTCATCATGCCTGCCCGACCCTTCTTGCCACAACACTGCAGGTCTCATCATCAACTTTCCAAAGACTGCTTGCCCAACGTCAGTCACACAAAGCTGTCAGCACGTGCTGCTCAGCTCTATCATTGAGACGTTCACGCGGTACTCATCATGCAGGGCCCCCTCAGCTGCCTGCCCGACCTTTCTTGCCCCAACACTGCAGGTCTCATCATCAACTTTCCAAAGACTGCTTGGCCCACGTCAGTCACACAAAGCCGTCAGCACGTGCTGCTCAGCTCTATCATTGAGACGTTCACACTGTACTCATCATGCAGGACCCCCTCAGCTGCCTGCCCGACCTTTCTTGCCCCAACGTTGCAAGTCTCATCATCAACTTTCCAAAGACTGCTTGCCCAACGTCAGTCACACAAAGCTGTCAGCACGTGCTGCTCAGCTCTATCATTGAGACGTTCACACGGTACTCATCATGCAGGACCCCCTCGGCTGCCTGCCCGACCCCTGTCTCGCCCCAACGTTGCAGGTCTCATCATCAACTTTCCAAAAGACTGCTTGGTCAACGTGCAGTCACACAAAGCTGTCAGCACGTGCTATGCTCAGCTCTATCATTGAGACGTTCACACGGTACTCATCATGCAGAACCCCCTCAGCTGCCTGCCCGACCTTTCTTGCCACAACACTGCAGGTCTCATCATCAACTTTCCAAAGACTGCTTGGCCCACGTCAGTCACACAAGGCTGTCAGCACGTGCTATGCTCAGCTCTATCATTGAGACGTTCACACGGTACTCATCATGCAGGACCCCCTCAGCTGCCTGCCCGACCTTTCTCGCCCAAACGTTGCAAATCTCATCATCAACTTTCCAAAGACTGCTTGGCCAACGTCAGTCACACAAAGCTGTCAGCACGTGCTATGCTCAGCTCTATCATTGAGACGTTCACACGGTACTCATCATGCAGGACCCCCTCAGCTGCCTGCCCGACCTTTCTTGCCCCAACACTGCAGGTCTCATCATCAACTTTCCAAAGACTGCTTGGCCCATGTCAGTCACACAAAGCTGTCAGCACGTGCTGCTCAGTTCTATCATTGAGACGTTCACACGGTACTCATCATGCAGGACCCCCTCAGCTGCCTGCCCGACCTTTCTCGCGCCAAGGTTGCAAATCTCATCATCAACTTTCTAAAGACTGCTTGGCCCACGTCAGTCACACAAAGCTGTCAGCACGTGCTGCTCAGCTCTATCATTGAGACGTTCACACGGTACTCATCATGCAGGACCCCCTCAGCTGCCTGCCCGACCTTTCTTGCCCCAACGTTGCAGGTCTCATCATCAACTTTCCAAAGACTGCTTGGCCCACGTCAGTCACACAAAGCCGTCAGCACGTGCTGCTCAGCTCTATCATTGAGACGTTCACACTGAACTTATCATGCAGAACCCCCTCAGCTGCCTGCCCGACCTTTCTTGCCCCAACGTTGCAAGTCTCATCAACTTTCCAAAGACTGCTTGCCCAACGTCAGTCACACAAAGCTGTCAGCACGTGCTGCTCCGCTCTATCATGAAGACGTTCACACCCTACCCATCATGAAGGACATCCTCAGCTGCCATTCTTTCCACAACGTTGCAGGTCTCATCATCAAGTTTCCAAAGACTGCTTGGCCCACGTCAGTCACACAAAGCTGTCAGCACGTGCTGCTCAGCTCTATCATTGAGACGTTCACACGGTACTCATCATGCAGGACCCCCTCAGCTGCCTGCCCGACCTTTCTTGCCCCAACACTGCAGTTATCATCATCAACTTTCCACTTGGCCCAACGTCAGTCACACAAAGCTGTCAGCACGTGCTATGCTCAGCTCTATCATTGAGACGTTCACACGGTACTCATCATGCAGGACCCCCTCAGCTGCCTGCCCGACCTTTCTTGCCCCAACACTGCAGGTCTCATCATCAACTTTCCAAAGACTGCGTGCCCAACGTCAGTCACACAAAGCTGTCAGCACGTGCTGCTCAGCTCTATCATTGAGACGTTCACACGGTACTCATCATGCAGGACCCCCTCAGCTGCCTGCCCGACCCCTTTCTCGCCCCAACATTGCAGGTCTCATCATCAACTTTCCAAAAGACTGCTTGGCCCACGTCAGTCACACAAAGCTGTCAGCACGTGCTGCTCAGCTCTATCATTGAGACGTTCACGTTCACACGATAGTCATCATGCAGGACCCCCTCAGCTGCCTGCCCGACCTTGCTTTCCCCAACGTTGCAGGTCTCATTATCAACTTTCCAAAAGACTGCTTGGCCCACGTCATTCACACAAAGCTGTCAGCACGTGCTGCTCAGCTCTATCATTGAGACGTTCGCACGGTACTCATCATGCAGGACCCCTCAGCTGCCTGCCCTACCTTGCTTTCCCCAACGTTGCAGGTCTCATTATCAACTTTCCAAACACTGCTTGGCCCACGTCAGTCAAACAAAGCTGTCAGCACGTGCTGCTCAGCTCTATCATTGAGACGTTCACACGGTACTCATCATGCAGGACCCCCCCCCCCATGACCTTTTTTGGAGGCAACGTTGTAGGTCTCATCATCAACTTTTGAGGTGAGTGCTTGACCAGAGTCAGTCACACAAAGTGGTCGGCACGTGACAGCTTGCTGCAAAGTAGATTGAAACTGAATCGCAACGCATTGCAAAGTATTGCGCACGAAATGCTCAATAGCGGTACATGACATAAGATGACTTCTGCAAGCCTCAGATTGTCTATCCTGAGCAAGCACCTGCAGGGACAGACTTGCCAAACCGACTGTAACATGTTGCGTGTCCAAAAGTTCTGCCTCCTTCCAGAGCAGCATGTGCTCTGCTTGCACACGTTGGAGACAGAATTGCAGAGCAGTTTTCCTTTGCATGCACGACCATTCATGTTGGCAGAGGCAGCAAGCTCAGTTTCCAGCAAATTTGCGGCACCACGAAGTATATCTCGTTTCCTCAAGTCGACACTCACTGAAACCCACTCTTCTCTCATGGCCAAAACACACAAAGAAAGTGTGCACTTGAACAAACTGCACACTGAAGGGGCGAATCATCTCTGCATACATGCTCGATTTCGGTTGGACTGGTTGAATCCGCCTGTTCGGAAAGTGCCATGATGGATCTGCACCTGCCAAATGCAATACCACAATCAGCAATTACTCGAATAAATCCAACGCGATGGCCTCTGGACGGACGCTCGGCTGCCTGCCGCAATGCTGCAGACAACCAAACATCGCGCTGTCATTGAGAGTTTGTGCCGTTGCAAAGCGAGCGCTTTTGCTTCTATCGCAGAACACCGTCGCGTCTAGCTTCTTCCACTTCTTCTGCTGAAGCCCCGAAGTCCTGAGCCCGGACATGAACCAGATTGCAAGATCCCTTCAGGGCAACATCGAAGAACTCCAGGGTCAACTGTTGCTGCAAAGCCTCAGCCGCATCCTTTGCAACGAAGCCTTGATGCGCAAAGCTGTTCCAGCTCATACGGTCTCCAACAGAAACGTCGTTCTTGGCACACCAACCTGCGGCAAAAGAATGCCAGGTTGACATTTAGCAAGAGCCTGCAAGCAGTGTGCCTTGCGGCACCTCTACGGCAAAGCTTGCGGGTTCATCGCTTCGCACACTCCGTGTCGAAAGCGGCATCGCCTGCCTCAAATGGACAAGGATGACATGCGTCAAGCCGTCAGATGACAAAGTGACTGAACCGGCTCCAGGATGCTCCAGGCTGCAAGCAAGCGACTTAATAGAGACAATGTTGCCGTCGAAATTGACATAAATTATGTCCAGTGGGATGAGTGTGTTTTCCTTGGCTGTATGGATAGCAGGAGTAATCTAGATGGGTGGTCAATATCAAGCTCTTGCAAGGCCAGGTTCCATCCAGAAACTTCGGGGTGCATCTTCCGTCCAGCGAAAAAGCATGGCTTGTCCATCCGCCATTTCGTGGCGAAACATCAGGCCGCGCCTCAGCCCGCTGCAATGCCACGTTGCTCACTTGACAAAAACATGGCAAGGACCAGCAGTGAGGCAAGCAGTCACAAGGAAGTCACCCACAGGCACAGAGCAAGACACATGAGATCTAAATCTGCAAGACAGAGCGCTTCACGCACGTGCCCTCACTTGGAGTCTTGCCAGTGGTAGCACTCGCGACACCCGCATCATGTCAGACCGAAATTGCATCACAACACAAGAAGCAGCCGTCAGTCAAGCAGCACACAAGCAACGCATACACTATCCCAAATGCCAAAATGGCCCTGCTTTGGCCACAAGCACCAATTTGCTAACACCTGGCAAAAGTTCAAGAAGAGCTTCACAACATGTGAGCGGCAACTCGCGTAATACAAGAACTGTGAGTGCAGATTTTAATGCTGCTGATGAAACAATCGACCTCTACAACAGCATCTGCAGCAAAAGCTATAGGCAGGCAACGCGTGCACAAATCAGACTACTGGTGATGCCCAGCCAGTGGCAGCAACAACAATCAAGCACCAGCACCCGTGGACTCCACAGCTACACCCTACAATAAAGGCAAGTAAGGAAAGGGTGAAGGGAAGTGCAAACAATGAGGAAAAGGCTACGGCTACAGCGCTACGCGTTTCTAATGCGTTTACAACGAATACAAAGACTGAAGAGGAGACAGCAAATACAGAGTAATCCGCATTCACAGGAAACAAGTTCAGTGTGGGAACCCAAAGGCAACCCAGATCTAAGTGAGCGTGCCATTTTGCAACTGAAGAATCCGCCTGCCCGCTGCGTCTCCCGAGCATCGCTCCGCCCCGTATCCATTCCACCTCCCGCTGGCTCCTTTCCGGATCAAAAAGATGCTCCCGCCTGCGGTTGTGTGATATCCCCAACAGCATGCGGTGCTCTGTTTTAGTGCTCGCACCACCCCGCAGCCCTCGCAGAACCTCGTGGAACCCTGGTGGAACCCTGGTGGAACCCTCGTGGAACCTTGCCTCAGGGCCGCCCCGGACCACCCCAGAGCCTTGGGCTGAGACCCCAAAGCTTTCAGCTGTTGGGGAAAAATGATGAAGAAGATGCCCCTTGCAGATTGGCAAGAAAACAAGCATCACTCAAGTCAGAACCAATTTTGGGATCAAAAAAGAGGCTCCCGTAAGCGATCCCCATCCCACTTTGGAAGAAAACAAGCATCACTGTATCACACAAAATTAACAGAAAGCATGATTGGCTCCCGGAACGGATGCCCCTGCCCCTGCAAGTCTGGAAGGCAACAAGCGCTCAACATCAATTAAAAACATCTTTTGGACACATTTATGGATCAAAGATTTGCTTCCGCTGCGACTCCCCGGCATCGCTCCGCCCCGGCTGCCCCCCCCCCCGCTGCGCTACCCACCGCGCCGCACTTGTATTTGACGTTATTGATGTGGCTTGTGGAAAGGCACCCGCGGCGCGGTGTCATTCCGGTCCCATCCATGCGCTTCGTGCGTCCACCTCGCCAGCATCGCTCTGCCCCGGTTCCGTCCACCAACTTTTTTCTCCCCAGCATCGCTCCACGTCGGCTCTTCGTCCGTTCCACCCGAAACCTCCCACTTCCCTTAATAAGCTCAGGCGATATCCCCAACAGCACCACACCCTCCCAGAATCCTCGCGGAACCCGCCCGGGACCCACCTCACCGCCGATTTTGCTGAGGATGCCGCCTTCTAACTTTATAAGCAATTCTAAGAGTGACAGCGCAATCGCGCCCTGATCGGGGCCCGACGGCGCAAGCGGGGCCCGATCGGGCCCGACGGTGCAATCGGGCCCTGATGGCGGCCCCGTGGCGCAAGCGGGCTCCCGCCAGCCCCAGCCACCCATATTATAGCTCAACTCCGGCTTTCCTTAGGATGCGGCCTTACAATTGCATCTAGCAAAACTAGGCGACGCCAGCTTGGTACAGTTGATGGGGCCCGACTGAGCCGGGCCTCGATTGGGGCCCGACGGCCCCGATTGCCCGATCGGGCCCCGACGGTGCAGCAAGTCAAAACTGTGCTGAAAGCCACTGATCTCAGTTTTGCTTAGCGTTCTGCCCATGAGCAAAGCAATCTTCTGAGCCCTCAATTTACTGCTCCGCTGGCTTTTTCAGACGGCGGGCGCGCGACGGCAAACCACGGAACCTTGCAGAACATGTGTGGAAACCTTGCAGCCTTGTGGATCCTTGTGGAATCCTTGTGGAACTCTGCGAAATCCTGTGGAACCTTTTAACCTTACCTCAGGGCCACCCTGGAACCGTGGTGAAACCCTGGTGAAACCGGTGGAACCCTCGTGGAACCCTCGTGGAACCTTACCTCAAACCACCCCGGACCACCCCGCAGCTCTTGCAGAACCTCGTGGAATTCTGGTGGAACCCTGGTAAAACCCTCATAGAACCTTACCTTGCACCCTGGTGGAAGCCTCATGAAACTCGTGGAACTCTGGTGGAACCCTTGTGAAACCTTGCCTAACCACCCCGGACCACCCCGCAGCCCTCTGCAGAACCTGGTGGAACCCTGGTGGAACTTTGGTTGGAACCCTGGTGGAACCCTCGTGGAACCTTACCCCAGGGCCGCCCCGGACAACCCCGGAGCCTATCTGGGCTGAGACCCCAAAGCTTTTAACTGTTGGGCAAAAATCTAAACCAAAACCCAAGCATCAACACAATCACCATACAGCTCAGAATCACTAGATGGAGAAGAGCGAGCGCATCGCACACTTTGGCGAATCAACACTCTGTGCAAAATGCGAACCTGCAGCAAAAAAATGACGAGCCTCACGGCTTGGGTAGTGCGCGGTGCGTACATTGTCAACGTGCGCTGCAAACGGCTGCTCAAGATTCACAATCGGTGGAAGGCAGAGCGACGTACCGAGGCATTGGGGAAAGAAGGAGATACAATGCATGAGAGTTCAAGCATGCAACACACTCACGATAGAACAAGCCGCACACATCGTCAAATCGTGCGCAAGAACTGTCGCCAAGGATACACCTAATACAGCGCCAACAATGATATTATGTATGCATCAAAACGTGTTTGAGTCTCGGTTGTCAAGCCGCAATGGCGCTTGCAGCATTGGGGTCGTGTCTCCTTCAACTGTAGCGTTGAGATGTGACAGTCCAGGTTTCGGTGTTGGGTTGCACGGTTCATTCCTGACTCCTCCAAGATATTGTGGATGTAGGTGATCTCAAACCAAATGCCGATCTCCTGTTCTACTCTTGGCACTTGCACAAGCGGCCAGCCCCTGAGCCAAAGTCCATAGAAAACTCGCAAACATCCAGGGCACGCAACACTGGAAACATTCAATCACTGGACAAAAAGGGCCCTGATCAACATGGGCGCCTTCGCGAACACGAAACAAACAGTAAAAGCAAAAATGGGATTCGCAGTACATTTCTCAAAGCAACAATCCAGCAGGCACAGTTGTCAGCAGAGTCACACCACAAGCACAGCAACACAGGGGGTCATCTACAGCAGCCAAAGCACACCCCAGTAGGCATGCTCACCAAGCTTGTCTCAACAGACACTCTACAATGCAACGACAACCCAGGCCTTATGAGCAAATCTCGCATAAACTCACCAAGTACACGCTAGTTCTTTAGCACCACGACCAGCACTGGACTAGTATGTCCAACATGAGCCGCACAGGTCACACGCTTGCTTCGCGACCATCAGCCGGTGGCAGACATTGCCATTCGACCCTCGAATTCAACCACACCATGTTTGACACCTTTGACATGTTGCATTGATATATCTTGCACTACCTTGACATGTTCGGGATGTTCTTGAACCCAACTCACACTGTCCATGTCAAGAACATTGCGGCAGAGACTTAGATTTCAGCTGAATTCAGTCCATCAAGGGAAGCATAGGGATGCATCGAGGACATGACCCGAAACGAGCTAAGGGTCGCTGCACGCAGTCTACATCATGCAACGCAGAATCACATGATGCTATTTTACATTGGCCATGACAAACGAGGAGTACACGCCCAATAAAAATGATGCGACCCAGCACATACCTGGTGGTACAGTGACCTATCTTCAGCTCCGGCTATGAGAAGAATGCGCGCTAAAACTGTTCGTGGAATTCTTCGCTTCGAGTTGATGGGCACGTTCAGTCCGGTCATTGACACCCGTGCCACTGAAATCACTAAGCCGCAAGGTGGCACAACCCCACAAATATGGTTTCGGCGCAAATGCCATTTGTCAAGAACCAAATATTGCCGAGCCGCATGAAATTGCTGAATGTCCTTGTCACAGCATATCCATGACAAGAATAACAAGCTGGCTGTGCTGGAGACAAAGTTTGCCTTCAGATTCCCTGGCTTTGCACTGATCATTGATCATGCTCTTCAAATCTTTGTGATGAGGCTCCTAGGTACTTCCACGTCAACGACTTTCTTGCCGTTGAGGCCAATGATTTCAAGCTCACCGTCCTATCAAGCTTCGATTGCAAGCACGCAAATCTCAACAATCAAGTACGGGCAGCTCAAGAATCTGGCAAGTTCGCTCCTTTCTAAAAGTCGGAGCTTCACTTGGATCTCTTTGCCTAGGTTGCATAGAATCTAATTTGACCTTGCTGTGCATTGCGGCTGCATCATGCGACGCATGTCATTCAAAGGCTTCAAAGAGGTATGCTTTACTTGCACTTCTACGCACACTGACAGCCAGGATGCAAGAGAAACGCACCGTGCCGCCGGATAGGCGACAGGTGCTGCCTTCTGTCCTCAACTGACTCAACTGCATATCTGATTTCACGCCAGCAAGCGCTTGCTGACGAGCGGCCTCACTCACTGGATGCTAAATGAGTCAAGCCACCGCTACATCTGCATTGTGAGGAAGCGGGCTGGCGAAAGCCACTGCCAGCAGCACCGGTATGCATCGAGTCATCTGGCCTGAAGCTGCAAGGTCTACGCAAAGCCCACCATCACACTGCTCTGGCACACAAGAATATTCAGGTCCCGGCTGCAATATCTATCAGGCAGCCCGCTTGAGCCAAAAACCCAAGAAAATACTCTTACAAGAAGGAAGACTTGTTTGTCCCTCTCCTTCACAATGTGCGTGCAATGTGCCACTGCCACTGAAAGCACAAAATGATCAAACAGCCTCAGGTCGTTGTACGCCGCACCTGAGATCAGAAAAAGTCACAGGCATTAAAGCCTTCACTTAAGATCCAAATCACACACCTCTTGTGGATGTGCTTCAGCCATTTCACACCGCAACATTCTCAACAACAAGGCTCACGCCGGTTTGCATGCACTGAAACACAGGTAAAGTTGAGGCACCGCCGGCAGAAGTTAGAGTCTGGAGCATAGAGGTTGCTGCAGCTGGCACAGCTGATGCTGCTCAGGCGTTGCCACCCGCACCTGCAGGGCAGCTCTCCAAACAGGTGACTTTCGCTTGTACCAAATCTCCTGCGGTCGATGGCTGCATGGAGTGAAATGTCTAACCAACAGCGGCACCTGCGGCACAAACTGGCGTCAGGCGCATACATAGTCCCACATTGGGGACAATCGCCCGAGACCTGACGTGCATCGGAGAGCGAATAGGACGTGATTGCTCCAAAATGCATTCAAACGCATTCAAATGCATTCAAATGCATTCAAATGCCTGATTCGTGAGGCTTTCGGCCTCCGTGCCTGAAGCCAAAGTGAATGAGTGTACAGCCCTCTGTGCAGTCCCTCGGACTCCCCAACCTCCGCCATCGCGCTTGCCCTAGGAACTGGGCACTGGGAACTCAGCTCTAGCTCTCTTGGCATGCAAGCCTCCCGGGCCACGTGAGGTCTCAGCCTGGGAGAGAAGCAGCAAAACTCTTTTGGGCTAGTAGATGGACGAAAGTAAGCGTACTTCAATACATTTGAGCTGGTGGCTGCCTTCGCTTTCGAAGCAAACATGGGCGCTCCTTCGCAGCCTGGCAAGTCTCAAGCTGTCGCCCACCCAGCTTGGAATCCTGGGCCTGGCTCACCGCCATGAACACGTGCCTGATTCTCTTGTCTCTCACTCCCATTCTGCGTATGCACAAAATGAAGACATGTGCCTCTCCATGCGAATGCTCTGGCGGACAAGTTCAAAGTGTTGTGCACGTGCGTGCCTCACTGTGATGTTCGCGAACTGCATCCAGACGTGAAACGCCGTGTTCTTGTAAATCAATGTTTCGAGTGCGCGCAGCGATTCTTGCACTTCTCAATCGCGGCGCAACAAGCTGTGTGGCGCATGGTTGTATGCACTCTTGGATCTCCACGCGTCTGCACCTCGCTGTCTGCGCGTTTGCGTGCACGTGACAAGGGGCAGAAGCCGGTCTTGTCGAGCATACGTTGTAATTGTTGTTCAACGGGGCGCCCTCCCCCACTCCATGATGCGTACTGCACGCTAGGCACCATCAAGCATAGTACGGCTGGCTGTCGGTCAGTTGTCGGTCAGTCGGTCAGCACAGGCCCCAGCAATCACACAGCTGACCGAATGTCGCTGCAGCTGGCCGTCGGTCAGCAAAGCAGCATCTTCACAATTTGCAGGATTCGTGGTCTAACCGCCGGTCAGCACAGTCAACTGTGTGTCAGCAGCTGGAGCCCATTGGTGGCAGAAGATTGCGACATTGTCAAAATGGGAGAAGGGTTGCGTCTGCAAGCATAGTGGTAAAAGCGTGGTAAAGGCACGTCTCGTGCAAGGCAAGCACAAGTTTTCTGAGCGCTGGGCAAACATCAGCTCGCTCTGTATCATCCGTGGCAACTATGGAGGCATAAAACGAAGGTGCGTTGCGGAATAAATTAGCTTGTGGCCCAGATCGGAGTTCTGCTCAAGTGCTCTCAATCTATCTCTGTGAGCCGAAAGGTGGCACGTTGTGGTCACGTTGAAATATGGGACGCGGCTGAGCATGCCTTTGCTTTTTTCTGCGGAATCACTCAGCAAACGCCGCCTTTCATCCTGGCACAGCGAGTGGCTGCCCCAAAGGTGAAAGTTATTGGATCGGAGTGGCTTCCCAAAGCTCGGGAACAAAGCAACGCATGCTCACCTCGGAGTCGAAGTCGCCATGCTCGGCGTCTGAAGTCTGGAACTCCTCTAACGTGCAAAAACCACAGTGGACTTCCGGTAAAACCCGGCCTCAGGTGTGCCAGCTTGGTCATCCCACAGTGGTGCCGGGGCGCAGCAGAGCCTAAGGCAAACATAGACGCTAGCTGTGAATTGTCGAAAAGGCTAAGCACATAGCCATGCGGTGCAGAAGGCCATGAACCTACATTGGATTTTGAAGGATGGCTTGCGAGTTGCGCCAGTCCAGCTAGAAACATCAAACAAGTTGTCGGTATCTCAGTTGTGGCTAGCTCTTGCTCCGATACCTTCCAAGCGCCAATGACCGCATCATGCGATTTTTGCAAAATCCGATTGATGCCCAGCGGCATAGAGGCAACAAATACGCCCAGCAGTGCCCAGCTAGCCAGTGAAGCGTCTGACCGAGCCTCCAAACGGCACTGATCACACAAACATAACAGTGGCATGAGGACCGCCCATTGATTGTGTTACAAGGTCGAACATGCCTCCTTCACCAAACCTTCCACACAGGGTTCTCCGGGTTCTCCCACGTTGGCCTCAGATTCTCAATCATGTCCAGTCATGCCTGGCTGGTGGCAGTGCCTCACTGAAAAGTGGTGGCCCATCCTGCAATAGAAAGAAAGAAGCAAAGAAGCAAAGAAGCAAAGAAGCAGAGAAGCGGTGCAGGCACTTGAGCAGTCAAACCCTGGCCTTGCAGAAGCCGCTGCAGCCATACTTCTCTTCTGCACTTTTCAAGATGGCCTGCGCAGAGTGTCTCACACAGCCTTGCGTGGCATATAGCTCCTTGAAGTGCAATGTCGCGGAAAGCTCATTCCTGACTTTCCTTTTGACACTTGCTGTGCTCACCATGCCCGGCACGCTCATTTTGCCCTCCTCTGACAGAAGCTCAAGAAGCCGAGCTGCCTTACATGGTTTGAACATGCGCAGCTAGTCATTGCCTGCTGCTTCAATTACAATATCACATCGCTTTGCATGCATTCAAGCTTCTGCAGCATGTTGGCAACGCCTTGCCATTGCCAAAGCTGTGTATCCCTCTTTGTTTCGCATTGTCGCCACAGCTCTGTGTTGCAGCAGCAATGCCACCATCTCCTACCAAGATGTGATTTGATGAATGCTTCAGCTCGTGTGCGCCTTCAATAGGTTGCGCCTTCAATAGGTACACATGCTTGGGAGGGACAAGTTGCGCTGTGCTTGGCCGGCAACATGCACTGCAGATTTGCAACTCTTGTCCTCTAGGCCGGCTCCAGCTGCCAGCATCAAGGAGGTGGCTGAATGAACGTTTGCGGCATCAACCTGGCACACGAACGTTGCCAGCTTTAAGGCTTCACGAGGATAGGGCACGGTCGAGCTGCAACACAGTCAAACCCGAACCACTTGGAGGCCTCTACTGCCTTCTCCAGCAACAACTCAGCTGCTACAAGATGGCCTGCAAAGCCCACCCCTTCTTGTTGAAACTGCCTTCAACAGAACGCCTATCAGTCACTGTTTCGGCGCAAGCGGTTCTGACAGGCTGCGTACCAACATGTGAAGCTTCGTTGGAGCGAGCGGATCAAGCAGGAGCAAATGCAGCAGTGATAAGAAAGATACCAAACAGGAGACATACCCTACGACGCGTCTTCCAGCAAGGCCTGCCAACACACCTCATGAAGTAAGAAGCGTACTAGAAGGAACTTCCGCGGTAAGGCAACTAATTGAAAGACAAATGACATGAGAGGAATAAGAACTCGGGAAAAACTGCGTGCGTACCGCTTTGTCTTCAACATGCTTTGCCACGGTTTGGCTCGAAGCGACTTTATTACATCTATACTGACATCCGCATTCTCAGTCCAAGTGTCGGCCAGCCTGTCGGTTGTCATCCTTGGGCTATTGAACTGGTGCGCTGATTACTGGGACTATAGCTCTATAGCCTGCTTAATGTAAGAATCACCTTAAAGCGATGCGAGAATGTGTGCGGGTGCGTCAGCCGCGTGGGCGTGGTTTGTTGGCCCCATATTGGCCCTTTGTATGTTTGGCCAAAGCCACGCACGTGCAAAGCTGGCATACAAAGACTGCATCTTGAGCGAACGCACGCTGCAATAGATGGGTGGTGTCAAAAAGCAAGCCCGAAAAAGGAAGCTGCGCATAAGCATGGAAGTGAAAGAGGCTACTATTCAGAACCGTTTCACAAACCATGAGGACAAAGCAGGAGTCGCTCCTTCCGCCGTACAAACATTGCGCATCTTTCCTGCACCCTTCTGGACAACCGGCAGCTCGTGAGTTGACTCTTGCTGCCAAGTCTCCTTGAACAGCAGCAAGGTGCAATGCACTGGCGTCATTATGGTTTCGCGCACGCAGGCTGGCTCCTTCGATCAGGGGCAAAACTTCGAAGCGCAAACGCACAGCCGCAGTGTCCTTGTTGAAGCAAAACTTCCATGACATCAACGCGCCCAGCTTCCGCGGCCACCAGCAGCGGGGTGGCGCGGTTGCAGTTGACAGCTTCAAGCGAAGCTTGGACAGAAAGCAGCAGCCTGCGAGGAACGCAGATACATTCTCTCTCTCTCTCTCTTGATCGCTGAGCTATAGCCAACTTCCTCTCTCTTAAATCAAGGATGAGCCCTTTTAGCAACTTGCCGTCAAGTCCCGCTTTAGGTCATAGGCATCTTCCCAAGCCGAGCCCCCATGACATCAATTGGCCCAACGACGCCAGACCCTGTCCATGCCTGAATCGCCACTTGACCAGCGCTGCTTGCAGTCGAACCACAGACGCTGCGCGCTGGGCCGAGGCGGGCAACGCGCAGCGTTTACAATTAGTTCCTGGCCGAGGCGGGCAGTACGAAACATTTACAATAAACATGAAAGAAATCAAGCATGCACAACAAACTGATTCGCGGACACATGTATGTGGCAGGCTGACTTGGAAGAATGCGTTCTTTGGGTAGTGCCTTGGTGGATGGGTAATCCTGCCTGACAATCTTCAGCTGACCGGTCTGCGCAGCAGCGCACAAAGCAGTACCATCTTGTCCCTGCTTGTCTAGCGTAGCCGCTGCTTCCAAAAGAAGCTGCACCGAGGCACAATGTCCTTGCTTTGAGGCCACCCAGAGTGCGCTATGACCAGCTGATTCAACGTTTGGACTGGCCTGATGCTGCAAGAGCAGCTTGACTATCTCTTTGTGCCCACATTCCGCTGCAAACCATAAGGCTGTGCCGCCTGCGCTACCCGCATGTTCATCTGGATCGGCCCTCCTTTGAAGCAACATCTCAACAACTTGCAAGTGACCCCTCCAGGCTGCAACCATCAGTGGTGTTGTCCTTAGTCGATTTGGCTCTTCAAAGGTTTGCATGCGCTCCATCAATTGGGCAACGAGACGGGCGTTGCCACGGTAACAGGCAGTAAGAAATGCCGGCATCCACGACAAGCTCGGGGCCTGATAGCCGCTCGAAACCAGAGCCTCACGATGCCAGCTGATCAGAATCATGTCTTCATCAGTGCCGCGGGATCTCCGAGCACCTTCAAATACACCAATCGGAAGTTGGAGCAGGCGGCCGCCTCTCACGTTTGCTGGAGGGATGCCGGCATGAGGTTGGCTGGAACTTGGGTCTATAATTGAGGCTGAGCGGTCATTCAAGCTTGTCAGAATGCAGAAATGACCAAAATAGCTTGCAGCATCCACAGTAAGTACGTGCTGGCAGTCTTCATCTCTGCATTTGCCGCTAGTCAAAAATGCGGACACAACTGTCCAGTCCAAAAGAACAAGAGCCGCACGGCAGCTGAAGTCATAAAACTCATGATCCAGCTCCGGACGGAAAAACTCTGTAAGTTCTCGTAACGATACGCTTCTGCATTCAGCTGACAAGTTTAGCTGCATGGCTTCTCTGTAAAAGCGGCACATTGCTTCTTTACGGTCTTCCTCCACTTCTGCCTTGTAGCGTTCATAGAACTCAAATCCACACGCCTGGGTAAACAGAAAGCAAAAGCTGATTCTGACTTGTTCTGCTGGAAGCAAACGTCCAAGTGCCAGCGCCAACTGCCGTGTTTCAATGCACCGCCCAGGCAGGATTTCGGAGGCTTCGTCACACACAGACTTCCCAACATCCCTGCCAGTCACTGCCTTAACAATCATGCGAACGCAAGCGGGGCCGCAGTCCATCTCACTTCCTTGCATGAGTTGCCAGGGCTCTCCCTCGCATCTTGCATCTGGCCCTGTCTGAGCAGGTTGCGGGTTGCGCATGTCGACGTAGATCCATAGGTGGCTGTGGCAGGTTTGAAGTGCAAATGCTGCAACCCTATTCTGGAGAAGAACATGCAAGCATTCTTCATACGATTGCTGACGGCATGGCAAGTGGCGCACCCACCATGGACTTTGCTCCCCACCAGCCAAACCTTGGTTCAGAAGGCAACCTTCAACGGCACAAAATGCTCACATTGTGGCACATTATGCAGTATGCAGCAGCCCCCCCTTCCGTATTTGGTCTCCACCAGGTCACTAAATCCATAATAAAAGACGCGCTGTCTAAATCCAAAAGTTTCATAAATCACAAAAGCTATTGCCAACAGTTCTGCCAGCACTACTTTCTTTCATTACAATCTCCTGCTGGATCTTAGCTTGCCAACAACCGCAAACATTTGTGTGGGGGGCGGCCGAGAACGAAAACCGTAGCCGGTCTTGCTACTTTTGGCCCTGGGCTTGCGCTGCAGCCTTGACGGTCGGCTGAAGGCTAGGCCATGTTAGGCTTAAAAACCGCTCCAGCACTGCAGCCCATCTGGGCAACTGGTGTCATGCCATGGTGACGTCTTGTCTGAACCAGGGCCAAAAACTTGTCTTGGTTTGACAGAAACCTTGTTTAGGCTTGACAAAGGAACCGCCTTCAAGGCCGGTGCCATCAAATAATACCAACCCCTTGATTCAGTACGGCCCTCTCGAGCATGGACAATAAACAAGACAAAATCCTGTTGCTTACATATTGCAGTTCTATTCTCGCCATACAATAGAGAACCAGAGATTGGAGAGGACAGGAGAGGGGAGAGGGGACGAATAGATTCATCCGGGGAGCACAGGGTGGCACCAAAAGCAAAACTGTATCGGCCTTGAAAGCTAGGAATATGCTCATTATATAAACAGGAGGAAACAGTACTGAGTTTTGCGCACAAGTTGGGGAAGTGTACTCTGGTTCAAGCGAACGAGGCCGACATTCCGGGAAATGGCAACAAAGCGCATGACAATTTGCAAACAAAGCGGTAGCAACCATCAACATCGAATGGGCTGCCAAAACAAGTAGTTGCAAATTGGCAATGCTCCAAGCGCACGGGCTAGGTCTGTCAGTCATGGTTTTTGTCTTAGGCAGTACCCAATGTCGCTGTAGCTGAAACATCATACCCAGCACTGCTTCGTACATGCACTCGTTATTAGCCGCTGGATCGAGAGAAATTCCCCCGAGATACCCCAAGTAGAGCCCCAGGCAGCTGCGAACTTGAACAGCTTCAGAATAGTTCTGCCTTGGACAAAAAACCCCTTCCCTCTCAGCGCACCAAATTCTATGTGGGCGGAACCTGCAGGCAGCAAGAGTTGCCTGCCAGCACTCTCACCTGTTACATGCTCTTGCCAAGCCAAGATCTAGCCGCACAAGCAAGCCAAGGTGCAAGGCAAGGCCCGCAAAGCGGTTGCGCCTTCAAACGATCGTACTCCCGCTGGCCGGCGAGTTCACTCTCGTTGCCAGCCTCATCCGCAGCTTTGAGCTGCGTAAAGCACATGGGGGTTGACCAAAATTCCTAGCCCCCAAATGACCATGGGTAAGGCTCCCATTTTGTGGGAAATATTATCTTCTTAGTCATCCCATGTAAAGGACCCATTGGTCAACACCCACATGATATCTGAACTCTTTGGCGCCTTGCAAGAAGCCTCCAAATCGGCAGCATAGGAGTACACCTGGCACTGAGTCTAGTTCAGGCCACTCTGCTCAGCATAGTCTGGGGTTGAGGCAGTCTGGACTCCAAAACTCATAGCTCAAAGAATTGTGTGCGTACATCACATGCCGACCGCCAATTGCCAAGTCGCGCCCTTCAACTACAGGCTCTCCATTTTTTTCATTTGCAACGTGATCTCACTGAGGCTGGCAAAAGCAATCGATTCACAGTGGTGCAACCTTCTCTTGACTGCGGCAAGCCACAGTGAAGCTGCCAAACGATCAAAATGAATTGGATTCCAGGATGATTGACTCGTTGTCATTGCATCTTGGTATTCGGAGTTGGGAACTCGAGCATAGGCGAAGCTAGCCGTTCAGCTCCGTTTGCACGGGAGGTGCCGCTTCATAGCCTGCGCAATGCACAGCACCGGCTTGGCTTGGATAGCTTGGCCCCACAATCCTTGAATGCTGCGAACGATTGAAAGGACACAATACAAGTCAAACTGAGGAATGTTGCAAGGCAAACCCGCGCCGGCACACACGCGCCTCCGCAAGCTTTTTCATTCCAGCTTTGCAAGACTCCGTCAGCTTTTTCACTCCAGCCTGACTGACGTGGACTGCATCCACGTCACAGCCTACAATCACCCGTGCCTTGCATCTGCCATCTGCAGCTTGTAGCGCTTTCTGCTGCGGGCTGCCAGTGGCTGGCACGAGGACTGCATTGGCCTCCTTGCTCTGCAGTCTCAGCTCCTTCAAGGCACAGCTGACTGAGTTTAGCGAGTGGACTGAGTTCAGCAACTTGTTGGTCTGGTCCTTATCTGGCATAGGTCCAGCCGTCCCAGATTTCAATGCAGTCATTGCAGAATCTGGCTGCACGCTGCGAGCCTTCACTGGTGGGCAGTGCAAAATCCATGTGCAACGAAACATCCACAACTTGTTTGAAGCGCCCGGCGCCTGACTTGCGGTCATTTGAACCCGTCCAGCAGAAGCGGTGGAAGTCACCATATTAACCTACCAGGGGTATCGATGCACATCTTTAAGGCTCGGCAACGACTTGGATCCAGACTTCAGGCTTTGGCATCTCCACAATCGAGGGTCGCGATGGTTTCTGTGAGTCCTGAAGCCGGCCATGTACAGTTATCCACTGTCCTGCCGACACATGTGGACAGCGCTGAGAGATCAGTCATTCCAGGTGCGGCATGGCGGCACCAATCCAAACTAAGCATGGTTCAGTGCAGTCAAGTCTCCCACATCACTGGCATGGGACCGTTCTGCTGGAACTGACGCGGGGCAACAAAGCTTCCCGCGACCTGTCCAGAAACCAAGATGAAAAGAACCAGGACTGAACTAACTCATAAGGCTGCAGCCATTCGTTGCGGGACGCCCATGCCCACTGGGCTTCCTTTCCAAAATGTAGGCAGTGGACGTGAGACTTCATCTCTGATCAGAAAGCAAGCTCAAGTGCGTCAGCCAAGATTCTTGTTGGAAAACCAGTCGGCGCTTGCATTGGCACCATCATTGGAATTTGACCAGGAGTGTAGGGTCTTGACAGCGACACTGATGGCTCTGTGGGAAAATAAGCAGTAGGCATAGCTCTGCCTGGCCAATTTGTCACGGGAAAGTTATTTCCTCGCGGAGGACCAAAGGAGACTCCGTTGGGCAACCCATTCGGCATGCCAATTGGCATTCCGCTGGGTACTCCATTTGGCATCCCAGTTGGCGAGCGCGGCACGTATGCCGGCACCTGGAAACACGTTTCTGACATGACCTGTGTGCAGGATATCAGCATGCACAGAAACACTATTTCGTGGAGCTTCTGGGGCGCTGGCTGGGACAGACATTTTTGCACTCAGCTGCAACGTCTGTCTACACGGTGCATAATTATTCTTGAACCAGCAGCTTCAAATATCAGTGTGTGCCTGCTGTCTTGGCAAGCAGCCATGGGAGGTTAAGTAAACACACGCACACGCACACAAGAGAACCCCAAGCAACACCCATCGTGAATCCAGAACGTGACATGATGGAAGGTGGCTCTTCCATACGCACGTTTCAAACAATTTAAAAGAAACATAGTTTCGACCACATCTCGGTACGGTCATCAATGCTTCGTCTGAACTACAAGGTTTAGCTTTGCTGCAGTGTCTGTGGGCACGGAACGAGGCAGCAGAGCTGTCGATTGATCTTTGGTGCGAAAATCCATGTCAGTCGGCACTGTTCGACCAATCTGTGCTTTTATTGAAAGTTGAAGCTGAATTAGGTCCTTTCCAATATGAGTTAAGAATGCTGAAAACTTGTACACGAGTGGCACGAAATGACTTCAGCTTGCAACTACAAATATGTTATGCACGCGGACCACACTAATCCCCACAAAAAAGGGTTGTGCGCGCAAAGAAAAAACAACTCCCGTCGATCTGGGGCCAAGATTGCGCCACAAAAAGCGAAAGCCCTAAGTTTCTGCACATCGACCACGCCGATCCCCGCAGATGGTCCCGCGCGCAAATCAAAAGTAGCAGCAGCAAAATGGCGCCTCAGCGACGCTGATCCCCGTAGGGTCTTGTGGGCATGTACATAGATGACGCGGATCCCTGCAGAGGGTCGCACATGGTCCGCAGAAAGTTGCAAGTGTCCGCAATTTGTGCACCTCGACCACGCTGATGTGTGAAAAAAAAAAGCAAGAGTCCTCTGTTTCGCACGTCGACGACACACTACTTCCTTGTGGCGCAAGTTTTCTCCTACAGTTTGCTGCGCGAGTTCTCTCGCAACTTGCTCTCGTCTTCTCTCGCTCATTTCGCTGCGCACGGTCTCTCGCGCAGTTTCCTGCCCTGTTGCTACTTGCTCTGTGCGCGCGCGCTCTCGCGGTACTTGCTCTGCGCTTGCTCTTGCGCTACCTGCTCTGCATGAGCTCTCACGGCGCTGTTCTGCAGGTCGCCGTCTTCCTTTTGCTGTGCGAGGCCCAGCGTCCACGCCCCATGAAGCGCAAGGAGAAGTAAAGCCATGAGTCTGCTGGGTAATGCGAAGCGCTCGCGAGCACTTTCGAAGCCAGGAGGGCGCTCCAAAGGCCACGCGCAATCCTTCGGAGGAGCAGGGCAAGCCATCAGTCTGCAAGGCGGCGACGACGCCGCTCGCGAGCGCGCTGGGGCATGCTTCAGAACTCCTAGGAGGAAGGAGTTGCGCTGTCAATGTGCTTGGCAGCGCGCCGGCCGCCAGTCTGCATGGCAGCGCTCTCGCCAGTGTGATCGAGCACGCCCGCTTGGTAGCGCATGCGTGCTCGCGGAGGCTCGCGAGCATGCCCCAAGCGCGCTAGAGTACTCCAGCGTACTCCCGAGAGCGCTCCAAGTTTCTGCGGGCAATTGGCGAAGGAAACAACTAAATAGGCCGTCAATCTGCTTCATATCGCGCTCAAAACCTGCCAGCGCTCTCGCGCGCGCTTCAGTCTTGGAGGCCGTGAGCAATTCCGCGGAAAAAGAGGTTTGCAGGCTCGCGTGGAATACTGTCAATGCGCTATGAAGAGTCGGGAGACGTTGGGTGAAAAAACAAGGCCGGCGCGGTCCGGGACACCAAGACGGACAAAATGAATTCGTTTGGCATCGCGCACCTGACCCAGGCCACCGAGGGAGACCTGGACACCGGAAAGAATAGAAGCCACTCGTCAAAGGTTCAAACCGAACAAATAACCAAAGGCCGGAAAGTGGAGCAGAGGAAGCCTAAAAGAACTGCAAAAGTGGCTGCGTGGAGAAACCCAACTCGCACGTCCCGGTCTCCCCAAATCATAGCTGCTCCATACATCGACGCAAGGCATGTGTTTTGAAGTATTCAAAGTGGGTAGGCAATTTCCTTGAGAGCGTTGGACTATCCACTATCCACGCGATGCCACCGGCCTCTCGCACAAGTAAAGTGCCTCCCGATGCCGAAGCCATGCAAAGCAAGGCCTGAGGTGCGCGCATCGTGAACAGCAAAGGCAGTCAACCGCAGCTCGCGAAACGCACTCTGAACTCGCCGCTTCTCGCCAAGTTCCCACGCTCCAAGAAATGCACCTGCAGCCCATCTTGTCCTGGGCAACACGATGTGGCGAGCTAGAAAGCTGGAGATACATTCAGCACCTGCGCTCTGCATCAACTCCCAAAGGACCCATCGTACGCATTGCTGGGCTTGTGACTCGAAGCAGCTAGCAGCACTGCCAAAGGCTCCAGCTCCAAAGGCAACAGCTGCTACTCCGAGCAGTGTCCCCGTCAAGCTGCCCTGCGGGCTCAAAAACATTCGGTCGCCCCTTCAGTTTTCCAAGTAGTGTTCCAATTCGTACATGCTGCGCTCGTGTGTGTGCAACACTGCCAGCATGCACATTGCCTGAGTGCACTCGTGTGCTGTGTGCCTGTTGCATGGCTTGTTTTCGTTTTCACCTCTCTCCTTTGACCAGCAGCTGCGTGGTGGTGTTCAGGGCAAAGCTTTTCGGCGCAGCCGCCGCTTGTGGGTCTCCATTGTTCGTTTGGGTGCTTTGGGGTGGCGTTTTGCGCGCCACCGTTCCGTAGCGCAGTTCCGTACCAAGTACAGGCGCAAGGGCGTGCCAGAAGTGCGTACCCCAGTCAAGTAAGTGTTGTGTTTGCAGAGCATCCAAAACCGTTGTGCGGCTGGGATGCTACCTGGTGCTTTCGATGGGCTCGCTTCTGCCAAAGTGTGACCCTGCGCACGTGACTCCTGCCTTACACAGTCCAAAGCTCTCCTTGCATTCTGAAACACCCCCTTACATGCCAAACACAGGACGTCCAAGGTACAATATTGGAGGGACTTTTCAGTATCCCGACTTCGCTCTTCACAAACCCAACTCAAATGAGCTTATCACGGGCGAAGGGTGAGCCACCAAAGATCAAGCTCTGCTCCAAAGTGCCTGCAGGATATGGTGCCGCAAACTGCACTTGAGCGAGAGGCTCCTGCAGGGGCAAAGCCAATACTTCATTCTCCCTCTCTCTCTCTCTCGCTCTCTCTTTATCTCTCTTATGTTCCTTGAGTGCTCTTGCTGGCTGTTTCTTTTGCAGCCGACCTTGCTGTAACACCTGCTGTACATCCTGTACAAGAGCACTTAGGTGCTGAATCAATCTTTCGCAACTACGCCAAACGTTGTCCGGCTGGACTCTATCTGCCTGATGTGTTCCTCTGCCCAAAGCACGGCTGCATGGAGATCAGAAAGAGTGTCTTCTGATTGCTGAAGGACATCAGCAAGTCCAGAACCCTGAATCTGCCGTCGAACACTCAAGCATGCATTTGTTACGAGCACCTTCACATCCAGCTTCGACCACTCCGTTGTGTAGTGCAGCAAAGCTGTTTCATCCAGAAACGGAACCATTCGCCAATCTACTATGGCAATCAGTATCTCCCTACTCAAATTGCGCCGCTCGCGTCTGGCAGCCCTGGTGTTTGCAGCGGCGTTTCCAAACCAACGAGGCCCCAAAGGTCGAGTGATGATGATCTTCGGAAGATCGACAGCCATCGAACCTGGCGAAAGCTCATCATAAGTGTCAGTGCCTGGGACACGGCCAATCTGGACGTAGCCAGCGCCTGCAAATCGGGACACCGACACCAGTACTTGAATCACGACAGCAAGCAGGGAGCCGTTGACGACGCCGAAGAGCAAAGGAGCCAGAAATGACATCAGGTATATACCAAGATCACTTGCCACAAGCACACGCAGACCGCTCTGGCTTACCCGGGCTTGCCGGTAGAGGTGGGCGATCTCGGAGGGCAGGGTTCTCAGCAAGGGGGCGAACTCCACCACAAGGATCACGGAGACTGCACACCTGGGGATCCGCAAGCCCGGCAGCTCGGCCACTAGGTAGAAGGCTGCAAGGTGGCCCAGTGCGTTGCCCAGCACCGCCAAGTGTCCGCTGCAGCCGCTTAGCGCCTGGCACACTGCAAAGTTGGCCATCACTGGCATGCCACCCACCGTAGCAGCTGTCAAACCGCAGCCGCCCACGGCCAAAAGCTCCCGTCGCGAGCTCCAGTAGTCCTGGGGCCGTCGAATCCGCTCTGCCACCGTCAGGTGACTCCCCAGAGACAGGAATGCAGTCAGGGCCGCCGTCGGCAACACAGAGGGTAGCCTGTGTAGGTCCCACTGAGGCAGACGCGGAGATGGGGGTTGGAAGCGGTCGAGAGTCTCGATCTTGCCAAGGTAATCACTTGCCACTGCTCCAGCAACAAGCACCAGAAAGTTGGCTGAGGAGTTCAGCACACGGCCAATCACCCGCAGGACTTGAAGCAAACATCTGCACCTCTCGTGTTTGACCTCGAGGTCTTGTGGTTTCTTGCTGTCACATGTTGCTATGACTTTCAAAATGATTAGAGCTGCTAGCAAGCTGCAAGATAGCAGGCATGTCGGAAGGTCTCCGCGCTGAGGCACCATTGTGCATGTTTGCACGAAGCTCAAAAGTGGTGACGTCGCGTTTCCAGCAGGAGTTGCAAAAATGGTTTTTGCCTGTGCCAGGATCACCACCAGCGCTGATGCTCCAGCGCGAGCACGGAGCAAAGGCTGAGAAAACAGCTCCACTACAGCTCCCAAGTCGAGGGCCCCCATGCCAAAATGCATCGCCCCAACCAGCGCCGCCATTAGGGAAGCCATGTTGGCCCGCTCTCCGTCTAGCTCGCTACCGGTGCCATCAACTGGAAGCTCGGAAGCGATGAGTTCCCCCAAGCAAAGCGAGGCTGTAGATCCAGACTGCACAGAGACGAGAGGTAAACTACCAAACATCAAATAGATCAATGGAGAAGCGATGCTTGTGTTGATGCTCACAAAAGCTGGCACTCTGGCAAGCACGGCATTGCCGATAGCCAGCGGCCACAACACAGCGCCTATAGCAAACCCGTGGCAAAGGTCACGAGCTGCAGTCAAGGGATGCTGCCAATAGAATTTCATACCAGGAGCTCTGCTCCACATTGACATGGCTACACTGTATGTAGTGGCAAACAGTCAGCCGCAAAAAAACACGAGATCTGCTTGGGCCATATGCACGACAATTGGAGAAAATCGTCCATTCACATGATGTAGAAAAGAATATGCTGACTAATGAGGTGGATGAATAACAACCAAGTGTATCTTGAGCGTCGCAAATCACTCGCTGTCCCGGCGCCAATGAGGGAGAAAGAGCCTGTCAAGGCGCAGTACCTGCAGGTGAGTTCGCTGGGCTGTCCTAAAGTGGCAAATCAAACAGCTCAAGGGCACTTTTGACGATTGCAAGCGCCCATTGCCCATCTACTTCGATAAATCTGAAGGGCCTGGCCGCTTCTTGGCAAGCACAGCTCGCAAATAGAACTGGGGTTTTTGCCATGGTTTGATTTATTCCGTGGCCTCATTGCAGCAACATTGGCTTCAGCTTGGCCCGCAATTGGCTGCGGCTACACCAAACGCGCGCGGATTATTCAAATCAAAACAACGAAAACACACCTTTCCAAAATACAGGCACTACTACTGATGTTGATGACATGCCCTCTGCACTTTGCCCCTGCGCGTCTGTGCCTGCTCTGCCTGTGATTCGCTGCGTGTGTATGTGTGTGTGTGTATGTATGTGCGCGTGCTTGTGCTTGTGCTTGTGCTTGTGCTTGTACTTGTGCTTGGGCTTGCGCTTGCGCTTGCGCTTGCGCTTGTCCTTGTGCTTGTGTATATACATATATGTGATATATGTCTATGTTTTATCTTGGTGCCGTTGTGGTGTGCGCGTGCGTGTCTGCATGCATGTGTGCGTGCACGTGCGTGAGTGCGCGTGCGCGGGCGCGTGTGCGTGCGCGTGTGCGTGTGCGTGTGCCTGTGCCCGTGCCTGTGCCCGTGCCTGTGCCTGTGCCTGTGCGTGTGCGTGTGCGTGTGCGTGTGCGGGCGCGGGTGCGGGTGCGTGTGAGTGTGCGGGTGCGCACGCGGGTGCGTGTGCGTGTGCCTGTGCCCGTGCGTGTGCCCGTGCCTGTGCCTGTGCATGTGCGTGTGCGTGTGCGTGTGCGTGTGCGGGCGCGGGCGCGGGTGCGTGTGAGTGTGCGGGTGCGCATGCGGGTGCGTGTGCGTGTGCGTGGGCGTGCGCGTGCGCGTGTGCGCATGCGCCGTGTGCCGTGCGCCGTGCGCCGTGCGCCGTGCGCCGTGGGCCGTGCGCCGTGCGCCGTGCGCCGTGTGCGTGTGCCGTGCGCCGTGCGCCGTGCGCCGTGCGCCGTGCGCCGTGCGCCGTGTCAGTGTGCGTGTGCGTGTGCGTGTGCCTGTGCATGCGCGTGTGCGTGTGCGTGTGCATGCGCGTGCGCACGTGCGTGTGCGTGTGCGTGTGCGTGTGGGTGTGCGTGCGCGTGCGGGTGCGCGTGCGTGTGTGAATGTGTGTGTGTGTGTGTGCTCTTGTCCGTGCCGGAGTCAGTGCGTGGCGTGCACGCATCTGCGTCTGTGTGTGTCTGTGTGTCTGTGTGTCTGGGTGTCGGATGTTTGCTGTTCGCGCGCTTGTGTACTGATGTTTGCGCTTGCGTGCGTGAGTGTGTGTGTGTGTGTGTGCTTGCGCGTGCGCTTGTCCTTGTTTGTGTCGATGCTTGAGTTTGCGCTTGTGCTGGTGCTTGCGTTTGCGTTGGATTGCGTTGGCACTCAAGCGGATGTGTGTCTGTTTGTGTGTGTGTGTGCGTGTTTGAGCGCGTGTGTGCTCGTTTGCGTGTGTCTGTGTACTCTGTTCACTGTGTTTCCGCGCGGGTGGTTTGTCTGGGTGTGTCTGTGTGTGTGTGTGCGCGCGTGCGTGCGTGCGCGTTTGCGTTTGCGTCTGCGTCTGCATCTCTGTTTGTGGTTGTGTTTGCGCTTGCGTTTGTTGTTTTTGCTCTTCCGTTCTCTCGGATTTGAACAGTTCAACGATGTTGGATGGCTTGGGGGCTCCGCTGAAAGACAGTCAAGCGCTGGGGTTTGTCGCCTATCCGATTAGAAGGGGCGCCAGGCTCACCATATCTGACACAACAAAGCTATGGTATGGGTGGGCTGTTGGTGGGCTGTTCACCCAGGTGTGCCTGCAGTGAAATGTGCTACGTTGATTCAGCTGTTGGTTCCCCGATTGGAAAAAGACGCTGCCCTCGCCCGAGCACTTCTGTTGCTTCCAGCACCACAAGAAGACCAGGAGGCCTTCTCAAAAGGCAAGCCACGCTCACTTTGACTAGCGACGCTGCCATGCTGCAAATGGTGGGGAATTCGGCTTCGTGCGCCACACCTGGAAGGCCGCCAAGAACAAGCGCAGTCTTGCGGAGGAACTCGACGTAAGAACTGAGACCGCTGGGGCGCTTGCGCACAGAGTGTGCTGGGAAGTGGGGGCAAAGCCCGTCTTGATAATCGCGCCAAGAAAGCGGAGACAAAAACAAGATTCTGCGTCACTGGTGTGAGTCTGTGCCAGTAGAGCTGCGACAGAAAAGTCCTGGCCAGCCGTAAGACTTGCGGGCGGCGCGACACGCCAAGACCACCTCCAAAACATCCCGAGCAGTTGCCCAGCCTGACTGGCCTTCCCGCTTCTTTTGCAGTGAACAGCTTTAAGCTTGCAAAGTGAAGCCCCAATTGCGCCCTGCTTCTTGCGAGAAGCACAAAAGAGGCGCTTTCTCGCAGCCAAGCCAACATGGATTTGGACCAACTCTCTTGCGCTTTGTGATTCACAAGGGCTAAGCAGCTGGCGCAGGCTGTTGGCCATCCGAATTTGGATGCCGTGTCCAAAACTCTGACCTGTGGCCGCGACACGCCTTCGCTGCGCACTTTCCCGAGGGTTGCGGCGGCATTGATCCGGACGCTTGGCCGGCTTTTGTCTCAGTCGCCAAGCGACGAATCGAGCCAGCTTGTCCCTGCGCCTCGGCGCAGTGCGCGAGCGACTCAATGCTGGAGAGTGTGTCTAAGCAGAAGTTCTGGCCGTGGGTTTCACGTTGGGATTCACGCTTGCCAAGATGCCTGATGGCGTGCCAACTTTCGCAGAACTAGAACACGTCTTGAGAGCTTGCTTTACACTGAGCCGCAACGCGTGTCATGACTACTTCATTGTTCCGATCACCTCGCGCGCGCAGGACGCTTGGAAGCGTTCTCACGCAGAGACGGCGTCCCCGGTTGAATCTCCCGTTCGTTTTAGAACTGGGTGTCACCAAGCCAGAAAAGAAAAATTATCAGTCCAGCAGTGCTTCAGGGATACACGGCTCGTGGCACACGGCTGGCGCGTCGTTTGCACAAACGCTTGCACGCTCGCAAAGTGCTATCGCAACAAAGTCACACGCGCGCGCCTGTGAAATTTCGATCACGCTGCCCCGTTGTGACTCCAGAGGTTTTGACACGTCTAAGCAATTGCGAAGTTTGCAGCTTTCCTTCGGGCAGCGTTTCTGTTGGCGCGGGTTGGTCGGCAATATGGACGAGCCGCCCAAATCACGTTTCCGAGCTTTGTTAGCCAAGGTCATCGAATTCAACTGAGCCGTGAAGCCTGCCGAAGGCAGAAACAAAGATTTGATTGTCAAGTCAAAGCCTTGGTTGACTCTCTTCTTTTGCTTGCCCACATGCAAAGTGGTTGCTTTACAACCATGTTGAAAAGATGTCAAGTTTGAGTTGGGAACAGGCGCCTCAGGCCCTTGTCGGCAACCGCTCGCGCGTCACCCAGTGATGAGTTTTCAGGCTGCGCCATAGACACAAACACGTGCACAATTTGGTCTCTGCTGGCAAGTGACACCTCTGCGTTCGGCGCTGCCACGGGCTCAGAAGATTTCTTTCACCGGGTCAATCCCGCGTGGGCCATCCATCCAGGCACAGCAAGATGCGCATTGGTGAACTTGCGGGCGCAAACGGCTTCCCCGCTCTGCCATTGCAAACGCTACCAAACAAGTTTCTGGCGAAACGCCAGGCTCAGCCTCGGTAAAACACTGGGATGACTTTTCGAGAAGCGGTGGCCCAGTTGTGGGGTTTAGGCAAACAGTGTCAAAACATTCCAAGTTCTTTTTCCCGAAAGCATGGCGAAGGGTTCTTCCGCTGGGTTCACTTGAGTTGTTCTCATGAGGGTCATTGCAAGGAGTCATTGCAAGGAATCATCATCATGAAAGTCATTGCAAGGAATCATCATCATGAAAGTCATTTCAAGCAGTCATTGCAAGGAGTCATTGCAAGGAGTCATGAGAGTCATTGCAAGTTGCAAGGAGCCAAGTGCATGGAGTCAAGTGCAAGTTGCAAGTGCATGGAGTCAAGTGCAAGTTGCAAGTGCATGGAGTCAAGTGCAAGTTGCGAGTGCAAGGAGTCAAGTGCAAGTTGCAAGCGCAAGGAGTCAAGTGCAATTGACTTGCGAGGAATTAAAATCTCTTCTTAGAGCGGCGGGGTAGTGCCGACGACACTCTACGAAAATCGACCCTCTGCGGGGATTGGCGTGGTCGAGGTGCAAAAACTCGAGGTGTTTTGCGATCTTGTTTGGGCCCGCGCGACCCTCTGCGGGGATCGGCGTGGTCGAGGTGCAAAAACTCAAGTTTGTTTTGCGATTTTGCTTTGGCTCGCGCAACCCTCAGCGGGGATCGGCGTGGTCGAGGCGATTCTGTGTTGGCTCGCGCGACCATCTGCGGGAAGTGAGGTGCAAAAACTCGAGGTTTTTTTCCGATTTCTGCGGTGCTCGCGCGACCCTGTGCGGGGATCGGCGTGGTCGCGGTGCAAAAACTCGATGTTTTTTTGCGACTCTTGTTGTTCGAAATGGTCCTCGGGAGTTGTCTCGTGGTTCGTGCGCCTGCTCCCGGGACCGGCGGGTCGCGGGTTCGATTCCCCCCTGGTCCGGGGGCGGGCTTCGCAAGCTGCACGGAGCAACTTGCATAGAGCAACTTGCGCAGAGCAACTCGCGCAGAGCAACTTGCGCAGAGCAAGTTGCACAGACCATTTTGCGCAGAGCAACTTGCGCAGAGCAACTTGCACAGACCAGTTTGCGCAGAGCACCCTGCCCAGAGCAACTTGCGCAGAGCAACTTACGCAGAGCAACTTGCACAGAGACATTTGCACAGAGTCAGTTGCACAGAGCTTCTTGCACAGAGCAGCTTGCACAAAGCAACTTGCGCAGAGCAACTTGCACAGAGCAACTTGCACAGAGCAGCGTGCACAGAGCAACTTGCAGGGAGCAGCTTGCACGGAGCAACTTGCACGGAGCAACTTGCGCAGAGCAACTTGCACACAGCAACTTGCGCAGAGCAACTTGCGCAGAGCAACTTGCACAGACCAGTTTGCGCAAAGCACCTTGCCTAGAGCAACTTGCTCAGAATGGTCGCGGGGCTGCGACGCTTTCGGGCCAACCGTGGTCTAGTTTTCTTTCCGAACTGTTCGACGACTCCCTTACAGTTGTAGCAGAGTAGGGTGTAACGCGCCACAACGCGCTCGGGTTGCTGTGTTGCACGCACTGCCTAACGACTGGGCAAACGGTTCCGAAGTTCTTTCGCCTTGCAACGCGCTCTAGAGTCGCCTTTTCAGCGGCGTTGCGGTCGGTGACCAAGCGCTTCAAAAGGCCGCGAGAGCTAACGACGCTCAGGACTCCCACAACGCGCGTGTCTGCGCGTCTGACCACAAAGACATCTCACGCAAACTGTGTCGAACAACACGCTTGACTGGGCCCATCCTTTTCAGCGGCTCTTCTGCTTTGAACAGTTCGACGACGTAGATTGGTTCTGGGTCCCTCGCCGAAAACAGTCTAGCACTGAGGCTTGGCGCCTATCCTTTTGTCATGAGCAGGGGAGCCTGGCGACACCTACCTAACGCAACGAAACTATGAGGGAAGCGTGTACCTGCAGTGAAATGTGTGATGATGATTTCAGCTGTTGGTTCTCGCTGTTGCCTCTGCTCGATCGAGTTGCCTTTACTCGCAAGATGTGCTTTGACTCACCTAACCTTGCTTGTCGCATGAACATGAGCGAACTACAGGCCGACCCCGCTTTTGAAAAGAAATGTTGGCTGTTGGCACAGAGGGGCTGCAACCTTCTCTCATGTTGAACCCTTCAAGGGGTCAGAGGTTCCTTGATCGAAAAGAGGAATCAATGCAAGATGATCCAACCAAACAGCATTAAGCTGCTTTCGTCTGGGACGTGCCACAATTGCGTGTGTCTCTCTGTCTGTCCGTCCGTCTGTCTGTCTGTCTGTCTGCCTGCCTGCCTGCTTGCCTGCCTGCTTCCCTGGGTTGGGTTGGGTTGGGTTGGGTTGGGTTGGGTTGGGTTGGGTTGGGTTGGGTTGGGTTGGGTTGGGTTGGTGGGTGGGTGGGTGGGTGTGCACCCGCAAAGTTGCGCCCACCAGACCAGCCGTTTTGCATCAATAGTGTATAGGCTCGTCAATGTCTGAGTCGCCCTCACTAAGCTCATCCTCATGTCGATCCTCACCTCAAGACAAGCTCGATCCTTCTTGCAAATTCTCCCCTGTCTAGGCCCAGCGCATGCACGGTGGACATCCACGCGCCGTGCATAAGCAAAGAATGGGACAGTCTGCTTGATTCGCCACCGCCTTGGCAATTTGCGTCACTCAACATCCAAGCTGACGCACACAACAAGCCCGTCACCACTTGAGCCGTCTGAGTCTGGTCATAGCCTACGGCTGGATTCGGCTGCAGCATATAATTGCAGCTGGTAAGGCTGACACTCGTTTTGCTCCAACAAAGCCCTCCATCTGATCAAACCTCAGGTGACAAAACCACAACTGCGCGTACCAGTGCAATCTAGAAGAAACTCTTTGCCTGATGACAAGACCATGGGTGTGTCAACTGCGCTTCGCACTTCATGAAGAACGCACTGGATCCATCAGCAGCTATGTGATGTCGATGGGCTTTGACCTCTGCAAACAGCCTTTCCCAGTACTGGCATCAACTTGAAACTTGGCGCTCAACCGGGTAGAACTCAAGCTGATTCATTACCTGGGTAACGCAAAGGGAGACAACGGCTACAAAGGCTACAAGTGCGTGAAGACAGCACAAATAGATGTTGGCAAGTCGTGCCTGAAGAAATTCTTCAAGTGTCATGTCCTGCAGTGGCAAACATGCAATGTGTAGCCCGTAAAAGCACCCGTGCAATTGTGCCCGTCTGATAAAGTGTTCTTTTGCCAGCAACCCGTGTTTCACATGTGAAGGAACTTCTTAGGAGAGAGAAAGAAAGTCTTCGATGAATTGCAGAAACCAAAGTCCTGAGTGGTGTTTGTTTTGTTTTGTCCACAAAGTGCCATGCCATTTGCAACAGAGCTAGGGCTCCAAGCAACAGCATGAAGCAACATCCAAAAAGACCCCTTTAAAAACTAAACATCTGGAGGAAGGCCCAAAAAAAAATAACCGAGGTTCTAGCGGAAAGTGCGCTAGTTCTTTCACCAATTCCAGTAGTGCTTTGCTAGCTTGAGAACTGGCATGGAAAGCTAAAGCCTCCCACCCGAGAGAATATAACGAGGAAGAAACAACAAGCGGGACCCTAGTACCTTTTGTCAGGGCGGGGAGGTTTGCGGCAATAGTTCTCAGTTACACAACGAATAAACAAAATACAATTTCTATGCAAAGCAGGCAGATCAACAGGGAACAGCTTCAAAGATACTATTATGTCGTACAAGATGGCCATCCACCCAAAGCCCTTTAAGAGCAGAGCCTTCTACAACTATTCGGCTGTTCTACCCCTTTCTTCAGGTGGTTCTACAGCAACTTGCGCCTCAAACATCCTCGAACCACATCTGTCAAACTCTGATGTTGAGGCAAGTGTCTTCAATTGTGTGTGAAAAGAACCTTGGGTGACTCCTTTCTTCACTTCGCGGAAGCCATCAAAACTGTCCCTTCAGCTCCGTGCCCGAAGCCGAGAGCTGAAAATCGTCGCAGACAAGGAGACCCTTGAAAACCTACGCTGCAAACCTGGTCATGTTGTTTGGATCCGTGGGCCAAGTGAACATCAATAAGGCTGAGGGGACCATCGACCTTTCGGCTTTCTGGGAGTAGGTAATCTTGTCTTGTTGGCATGTACAGCGGTCTTCCTCTAGGGCGAAGAGGCCCGGAACGCTGTCTTCCGGCGAGTTTTTATTTCAACGATCACCAACCAATCGAGCCCAAAAGGCTGCCGCCCCTTTGCACCAATCACGCAGGTCGTTTGTTCCCGGTTGACGTGGAGGGTTGGTTTTTGTGTTTTCTTCTCCTATTGGGGAACCAGTCCTGAAGCTGGTGGAGACAGCTTCACAGGCTGACCTGCGTTGCTTGTGTGTATTTTTCTCCCGGCAAGCGCCATGAATAGTCCTGATTTGGCGACCCTACAAGAAGCAGTTAGACAGGATGACGCAGCACCATGGAGAATTGAACTCCAGCGCCTCTCTGCAGCTGAAATACCAGTGGACAAATGGAGATGCTTGGCCATGAGACGGGACCTCCGGGCAGTCCAACGAGATGCGCCGCAGGTAAGTTTCGGCCAGCTACATGAATGGAGTAGTAAAGGGCCCTTCCATTTCTCATGTAAGACTTTGAAATGTCTGGAGGATAAATGCGCCAGATCACAAGGACTTCCGTTGGCACTATATGGTCCGTGGGAAGGCGGGGTGCAACCTCAGAGTCTCCTCTCTGCCCCGGCAGGGCCAAGTGTAGAGCTTGCCGTGGCGTGGAACGCGCGAGGGGGACTCCGGCAACGGGAACCACAAAGCTAACATCGCAAAATTGATGGCCTTCATGCATGAACATGGAGTCCCCTTGGCTATCTTGTCAGACCCGCAACTCGGGCCCGGGATGACTTGGCCAGACTGGACAGGGGCACAGATTTTGGGGGAACGTTCCCGACACCCTGACACGGTTGCTGTTGTTGCGTTAAACGAAACAATGCATAATATGCGCGTTCTGGAGGACGTTGGTGACCCACGAGCAATTTGGATGGAATTCACGACCCAGGATCGAAACCTCCAGGACGTTTGCACCTTGGTGCTTGCAGTCTACGCTTTTCCCCCCAACCGGATGGTTTGCGAAAGACTGGCGTTCTGGCACGAACGCCTTCGGGAATTACAGCGTCTGAGACGCGAGCCTTGTTTTAGGGACGCGCCGCTGGTCCTAGCTGGGGATCTTAACCTACACGTGGCATCTTTGTCACGACAGGATGCCCGACTGGAGAGGCCGGTTGACCGAGAAATCTGGATGCTCCTCACGAGTGCAAGCGGTTTTGGCCTCATTTCCAGGAATCCTGCTGATGTCCCCACTCACAAAGACGGGGCTGTGTTAGATCATGTCTTGACACATGCGTCTTTGGACACAAGGGCGTCTGTTGCGCCAGAACGCGACCTTCTGAGCAGCGATCACCATCCCGTGGTAATAAGGGTGCTGGGCCGCACGCTGGCTGCTCATGAAGTCCCGACGGTTGGTAAAGATTTTTGGGACCGGCAGGCTGACTGGGATCAAGCTCTACGATTAGGGATGGACTCTTTGATGTTTGTTGCCGCCTGGGCTCACGCAATCACTAAGGCGGAACAACTGAAGCAATCGGTCGCAGAAGGGAAGCGGCGGAAACTCAAAACCTGTTGGATTTAGCTGACTGGTGGCAGACAGCGCTCCTGGTTTTACTGGGGCACCTCGAGTCCATGGCTCGAGTTTTTCGCCCCCCGCGGTCAGGGACCGTTGGCACTAGGGATAGGCTGAAAGAACTGTTTCTTGCCTTGAATGCTGCTGGTACGGACAACTTTGACCCGGATGAAGAAACCCAGGCTGAAATCGATTTGCGATTTTCCACCCCCAGGCTTTTGAAGATGCAGCGGCTTTTTCACAGCACAGCAACAAAGCTGAAGCGCAAAGGTACCTTTCTTCGCTTATCAAGCCCAAGATGCCTCTGCTGCTGGGGCTCCGCAACCCTGACACAGTGACACAGGAGAAGAATTATCTAAGCGCGAAGAGATGCGCTTGATCGAGGACGACGTCCTCGGCCGCTCCAAGAAAGTTGGGGCGGGAGACCCAAAGTGGACAAGTGAAGTCCAGCATTTCATCAAGCAGTGGAGTGCGCAATCGTTGAGTGACACAGCGAGCGATGACACAGAGTTCGCCTCCTTACAGGTCGTGAGCGACTTCTGCCAGCAGCTACAACCAAATAAGACATCTGCCAGATTGCCACGGGCGGCTTTGAGGCAAAGGTTGACGCAGGCGTAATGGTCACCTGGGCCATGGTCAACCTGTGCGCCTGCCTTTGCTTGGTCCCACGCTCATGGTTCCGAGAGATCACGCCTATCAGGAAGAAGGGACCTTTGATAGTTCGCAATTTGCAGAACCTCCGACCCATTGCTTCCACTTGCCCCTTGGAGTGTATTTTTGATGCATGCTGGCTGTGGCGAAATAAATCCGCGTTGGAAATGTTCATGGCTGCTGAGCAGCACGGCGCCAGAACCGACTCCTTGTTGCTTGCCCTGTCCATCGTCACATGCCTGCAACTGAGAATGGATAGCAAGCTGCCGACCCTGGTGAAAAAGGCTGATTTGCTACAAGGCTTTGATCTGAGCTGGAGGGATGGTTGCCTATACCAACTAGCTCAGGCTGGGGTGCAAGGGCGGGATTGGCTGTTGGGATTAAATTGTCCCATTTGCTAAGCCCGATGCGCACTCTTTATCACTTTGGGATTGGGCAGGGAAAGGCGACTTCCGTGCATCTTTTTGGGACGCTCACCCAGGGCCTGGCAGAACTTTACAGAGCAACTCCAGGGGTCGGGCTGGGCGTGCCCCGCTTGTTCGCGGGCGCTGTGGTTCCTGAAGCCCGTCCGGATTTGGCAGCAGAGGGGTTCATGCGCCCCTGGGCCTTGCCGCTTGCTTGTAAAGCAGTCAAGAATACCGCAGCTGGTGAGCCTTCTGGGTCGCAGTTTAGTGAATTCACGATCAGCGAGAGACTTGTGGCGCTCAAGCTCAACGCACCACACAAGGTGTTTGTTTCAGTACGTTGATGATGTCTTCTCATTGAGCTCCACTACCTTTGGTTTGAGTATGGCCTGTCAAGCGGATCACCTTTTTGAAAACCTGTGGAGGCATAAGTTCGCAGACGGCGCAAAGGGAGCTGCCGTCATGCCAGTGGGACGCACGTGCTCTGACCCCCCCCCTGCCACCCAGCCCTTTTTGGTCCACGCCGAAGGCGGTTGACTGCCTTTCCGTCTTGGGGGTTTTGGTAGACCTTGTTGGCGGAATGCTGTGCTCGGTTTGTCAAAGAGTCTCAGGCATTGATAGCCACTATGCGAGACCATGCAATGGGGCTCTTTCAGCAGGTTGAGCAACTTTACAGCCGTGTAGAACCATCAGCGCTTCATGCTGTGGCAGCGGCGGCGAGCCACGTGAACGGTTGGGCAGCTGTGGCCAAGCGACTTGACCAGGCACAATACCTGGTATGCAAGGACTTGCTGGGTTGCCCCGGAGCGTCGCTTGGCGAGGGGGGCAAGAGCCGCTTGATGCATGAACTGGGCATGCGTTGGCGTCTGAGCACAAGGGTGGCGTTGAAAGTCATTCTACTTCGTGCGCGGGCCATGTGCTTGCTTGACAACCAGATGGCCGGGATACCCTTTCTTGTTTCCTTTCTGGGAAAGGGCTTGTCTTGGACGGCACACGCGCAGCAAGTTTCTGACAGCTACGGGGTACGAGTTGATTTCTGCGAGCACACTGTGTCCATGCGATTGCTGCAACAGCCTGACCATGATGCGGGCAAAAGGGCGGTTCTGGCCTGGAAGCGCGACGTGGTGTTGCCGCAGCTTGAGCTAAGGGAAAGGCAATGGTTTCAGGACCAGTCAGTGAAGTGGACCTTGCGACACACGGCGGGGGTGCAACCCGGCACGCCGTGGAATGGGCTCCACCGTGCCTTCCTGAACTTTGCTCAGTCAATCATCCTGACCAAAAGAATGTGGGCGCACGCCCGAGTGTGGCTTTATGTTTCCTTGACTTGGTGCTTCCCTTTTCCGATTTTCGGCAGCTCGCAGCCATTGGTCACCACACTTCCCACATGCCCATGGTGCTCCGGGAGGGACGTCGGCGTGGAGCATATTTTGTTTATCTGTGGACAATTGCAGCTGGAAAGGCCGCCTGAGGCGCTTACTAAGGCTGTTGACGAAACTGTCATGAAGAAGCGACTCTTCTTTGTAGGTCAGATAATGTACCTTACCTGGAAGAGGTGCAGGTAAAATCGGCATGATGCGCAGTGGTCCGGTTTTTGTTTTTTTTTGTTTTCTGACACTTCTTATTGTCACGAACGCCGTGTGGCGGCCGGTAGGCTCTTGGAGCAACGGTGCCATGCGTTCTTCTCTGATGTCCTGTGGGAAGGCTCTCTTGACCAACACTTGAACACTTGAAGACCGGATGCATCTAATGAGAGCCCAACAAAAATCATACAATCGGCCCCAAGAAAGCCCAAATACGAAATTAAGCAAGGGCCAATACTAGAATTACCTGACGACACGCCCCTGGCGTCTCCAAAGGCCACACGTCAATAAGCCCCCGCCAAAAACCTCGCACTAACAACCATGTTCGTACTACAAGTACTTCAAGCAGTACTGCAAGCACTACAAGTACGGAGTCCCACAAGCAGCAATACAAGTACCAAGTACTACAAGCACTACTACAAGCACTACTACAAGCACTACATTGTGCTACAAGGTACTACAAGTTCCCCAAGACCCTGCGGTTCGCCCGGGGACATATAAGCCTTGCTGGCCGTTTGGCTCAGCAGCATCTGGTGAGCAACTGTTTAGAGGTCCGGCTTTGGTTTAGGGTTACGCCCCCCCAGGGTTTAGGTTTTCAATCCTCCGCCCCCCAGCCAACTGTTTAGGGTTTAGGTTTTTGTTTAGGGCCAGGACCGTTCCCCAGCCAACTGTTAGCGTTTAGGTTTTGGTTTCGGGTTCAGGGTTTAGGGTTTGGGGCTTAGTGTGGCTTTTTGCGGGTGCTGGAAGCACACAAGCTTTCCCGCCGTGCTTTGTACCCCGGAAGGCTGCGCCTGTCTCTTAGTCAGGCTTTGCAGCCAAAGCATTGCCAGTGGATGTATGATGACTCTTACATCATGCGCGGGAACCGCGGTCGGGATGGGTCGGGTCGGGGCCGGCAAACGCTCTCGGGCAAGCCATAGGGTCCGGCCGTACAAGTTGGACTGGAGTTGCTTTATTACGAAACCGCCGGTCCAAAGAAAAACAAAGAAAAGAAACAGTTAGACCTTTATGAGTATGAAGCTGACACTAGATTTAAAAAACATTCTCACCAATTAAATTTCGCAATGCTGAGGATCAATTCAATTAGTGCGAGAAGTTGCCACTGTTCACAATTGAAAAGATGCTGGTTTTGGACTTACACCCACTGCTGGCCTCTTGTACAGTATTTGATTGCACCGTTGTGAGGTTCCAATGATCTTTCCGGCAGTCTAACAATGACAGGGCGGACAAGTGGGAAACGCCACGTTGCAGCAGAATGTCATTCATGTTTTTGTGTAATTCTGGAGCTCACCACAGCCTGCCGTCGTTTGACCCTGTCCCAGCTGAACCAGGTAATACAATCGCTGAGGTGCGGCAGATTTGCAAACGCGGAACACAAAATTGAATCTAGCATGGTCCTGTGAGTAAAACCATGACACACAAACTCAAGGCAAACCCCACGCAGAATTCGTCATACAGCTTAAGTGATCGGAATGCTGTTTGCTGTCGTATCTCTGAGACATCTATGCATTGCTTGCAACATCTACTTGTTGCGCATGTTGGTCTCAATATCTCTCCAAAGACCCACAATGCACTCCTCCTGCCACCCAGTTGTGCAGACCCAGGTCTTGCTTCCCTGCGGTCTGGCAGAGAGGCAATTCAGTGCCCGGGACTGGCAAAACAATTGACGTGTCCCCTATCTGAGCTTCACACGTGCAGCAAGAAGTCTAAGTCCTGGGCATGTTTCACATGTTCAGCTCGCG